AAACCTAGCAAGTTTTCGAAAGGTAGGTGAATTCCGCCAACCCGCACTTGGCCAGCGTGGTGGACTATGACCTGAATTCCCACGTGCCCAGCAGTGGGACGTTAAAAAGGGTTCTGCCATGCTTAGTTACGATAATAACACAAAATAAATTAATTGGTAAAATATAAGTTTTATAATACATAGCATGTATGGCTTGTTTAATATAATTATTTCACTGATATATTACCCTTATATCCTTTGGGAAATAACAACGTGACCTAACCTACTGTCCCAGTTTAGTAGCGTCCTGAAAACCCAGAACGAAATGAAAAAATATACAGTTACAAAAAGGTTGGTAACGAAATCATAGCAAATGCCCTACTTACTGCTTAACAACGTTATTAAACATTTACAAAATTGCTATAATAACAATAACAAATTATTAGACTCTATATCCATTATGGATATAAAAATCAGTGACTTACCTGCCCCAAAGGGCAAATGGACAAAGGCATGTCTAAAAAGACATCTTGATTTCTACAATCGATGTGGCTAACAAAAAAATTATAAAATATTAGATTAGAGATTTGAGTTATAAAACGCTTATATTTTTGCACGTTTGGCTCAGTTGGTAACTTGCTGTGCCAGCGGTCGCAGGTTCGAGTCCCGCTGGGGGCATTCATTTGTGTGATGAGCACAAATGCTTGTACTCCAGTCATGGGTGTTTATATTCATAATATGTATGTATTTAAAGTTATATATGTGTAGTGTATCAACTATCTGGTATCCATAACACAAGCCTCGTAGCTTACCATGGTACTAGATAGCGCTATGTGTTAATGTCCCAACATTTATTATTATTATTATTATATATATTATTTCTATATATACTAATAAAATATACGAAGTTAAATTCGTTTGTTTATTTGTAGTAGATGAACTCTGAAACTACTGAACCGATTTTTATAAATCTCTCACTAATAGATAGGCTACGTTGTACTAGTGTTACAGGCTAATTTAAATATTTGTACTGTTAAAGGTTTTTTAATAGTAAAGACAATGTATGGCAGATGGCACATTTTTGACTTAGTGGATTATTTTTACTACATAATATTATTTTTTACATCACAATAGACCAACCACTGTCACAGCGATACCTTATAGTCGGAACATAGAATTAAATTAAAAGTATTTTCTACATAATAAAATAATTTTATCTTTACAAGTAGGTAGTGATTTTAGAGAGAAAAGCTCTTTACAGTGTGTAATTTGATTATATAGGAGATGAAAAGTGAAAAGGAATCACGAATTGCGTACAAAGATATCGAGGGACGCACCTAAGCGAAGATATAGCGGGTGATATATATTATTTCGTTTTTCTATTAGCGATGGAATATCATCTAGTGTGAGCCAGCTTTTTTTGCACTGATTTCTCAAAAGATTCTTAGTAATAACTATGTAATATACTTATTAAATACTCAAAACTGATCAATCAGAATTGATCAATGATTTGGTTGAAATCGTTATTTATATATCATTAGTGTTCGTATATTGGTCAAAGTTTGACCAATCATTATAGAAAATTTGAGGAAAACATATATAAATAGAATTTAACTATATAAAAGAAACTGTTTCCAAAATTTAAAATAAAACTATCTATTCGGATTATTTCGCGGATTTATTTTAATCTTTGGTTCCCGACGTTTCAAATGCTTTACAGCACTCATCACGAGAGAGACTTAGGTTATAGACTCACTTTTTTACATTTTTTTTTAATTTTTACATTTTTTAATTTTTGAAATCATTTTTGTAAAAAAGTGGGTAGGCACTGTATGTAACAAGTACATAATACCTTTGAGAAGTCTATAACCTCAGTCTCTCCCGTGACCATGATTGCTGTAAAGCATTCGAAACGCCGGGAACCAAAAATCAAAATATATCCGCGAAATAATCCGAAAAGATAGTTTTATTTAAAATGTCAAATATTTGAGTAAATCTAAAAAAGTATTATGTGTCCAACATATTTTTATTGATAACACTCAAGCTCGTCAATAGTATAATCTCTTAATGATAATTAAGAGAAAGAGAACATAATCGTTGGCTTACTATTACAAAGTTCTATGTTAATTTTAATGAAGTTTAGTATTTTTTACATAAAACTTCGTTATTTTGTTATCATAAAAATAACAACATAGAACTATGTAAAATTGAATATTTTGTAGTTATAGTGCCGCTATCTAGTGGTTTGTTTTTGCAAAACTGTAGCTAACGACACATAGAACCTTATAGCATTAATAACTAAATAAGTACTAAAATTGTAACATAGAACTTTGTAATAGTGAGCCAACGAATTATGTATTGATAACAAGATACTACAAAGTATAAGAAAATTAACCAATAAGTCATATTATGTCAATACGAATACATTAACGGTTAAAACATTGTATAGAACAGTATATTTTTAAGGACGGTCATAAATTATTTTAACGCGTTTTGTTTACGACATCGACTTCGCCGTTAAATAACAGACTTTACAAGCCATTTAGAAAATGTCACTCAGAAAAGCCACATGAAATGTTTTTGCAAAAAGCCGAAGCTTTAAATTGTGAAAAACGTTGGCTTGACCTATACTCGGGTCAACAAGTGCTGACGGCTGACCGCTATGACAATTGCTTTGTGGTACTGTAGCTTGCTTTAACAATAAAATAATAGTACATGAGTCGACACTGATGGAAATCTTGCTGTTATAATTATCATCTGTTTTTATTTGTGTCAAAAATATAAAGAATTTCAGCGAGAAAGGTTTCAATTGTAATTGGACTTTTTCTATAAATACACAAATATGTAGGTACATATGTATTTATGTGTATGTATGTTTGTATGTGTGTGCGTGTTTGTGTGTGAGTGAGTGAGTGCGTGCGTGCATGTGTGTAACTGTATAACTTAGTGCACTTAGATAGTTTTTTTTTTAATTAATCTCCTAAAGGAGCTAAAATACAGGATAAAATCTTACATGACAATTTAATATTTCTGAAGTTAGAAGTATGAAAATTGATTTTTAAACTTGTGTTTTTATTTCCGATGGAAAACTCTATCATTCGTAAGTACGCAGTATTTATATGATCGTATTAAGTTTACATTGTAAAGCTGTACAGCTTTACAAAATAAACTTAATACATACTCGTACATAAAGTTTAGAAGATAATATTAGTATATGGCAAGGCTTAATACTGTATATAACAGCTTTTCAGGTCAATAGCGTTATTCAGTAAACATACTTGGTGTACGTTTGCGTGTTCAGCTGTCAAGTTACATGAAAGTTCTAATAGAACAACATTCATTCCAAAGTTATTGAATGAACGTTTAAGAGATAAAATATAAGTTCCATTTACTAGTAATGATTTATTCGCTGTATTATTTTTTCTCATAATTGTAAAAGCAGAAGTTTTCAGTCATGTGTGTATGTGTGTATGCTTGTTAGTCCTTAACGCTGAAAGACTGAACGGGTCAAGTTGTTAGTGTTTACATAATAAAAAGAAAGAAAAATACGTAAATTTTAAATAAAATTATCTTTTCGGATTATTTCGAGGATTTATTTTGATTTTTGGTTCCCGACGTTTCGAATGCTTTACAGCAATCATGGTCACGGGAGAGACTAAGGCTATAGACGTATCAAACACATATACTTGTTACAGACAGTTCCTATTCACTATTTTACAAAAATGTAAACGTATATGTAAAGCCTTATATGCATCAGGTTGATTTATGAATATTTTGATTATTATAGGATAGTTAATTATTTAGACTAAAGGCAGGACCAGCTTTCTATAATTGGATATAATTATATCCACAAATACGGATTTTCCTTTACTCCAAAATGAGGTTTATTAAAGTATTTTGCTGAGCACCTAATTATAATATTACATACACGCGTACGCTAATTAATACTAGCAGGTGCCAGGCCCAATCTGTATTAAACTTATACATATACCGATATTATAAATGCGAATTTTTTTCAGTTAGTGAGTGACTCATAATAAAATTCTAACTAAGCTTAATCTGTATAATAAATATTTTTTGGAAAATCTTATTAAAATAGACATTATTTTCGATACAGACGTCGAATCAACAGTTTTTAGAATTTTTGTCTGTCAGTCTGTCTGTTACCGCATCACGGAAAAACCACTGGAGGGATTTTGATAAAACTTGGTATGGTGACAGCCGGTTGTCCCGGTCAACATATAGGATACTTTTTACGGCGGGAGAATATCTCATTTCTTAAATAATAATGTCTCATTTTAGAGTACTAATATGTAAAACCTAAGAAATAGGTTTTTGGTCATCTGAACGCGAGCGGAACCGCGGGCAAGACTAGTTTGCAATATATTTATAATATAATGACTCAATAGAGTGTAATTTTGAACGAAATTAAGATAATTTATATTAAGATATAGTTAAATTTTTTAACACGATATCATGACCATTTTCACTGACGTTCCAAAATTTGAGTACTTATTGCTTACGAACATCAACGAAACACAGTAGTAAAAATAGCACTATGAAGCCACAAACACATGAAGCGTTTGCTATTTCTGTGCAATAAAACGGCTCAAAGCATTTAAGTGAAATTTTGAATGAAAGCAAGACAGTTTATATCCTGAATTAAGAAATAGGTTTTTATTGTAAATTTTGTGAGCTTATTGCTTACCATCATCATCTCCCTGCCCATATCCCAATCACTTGGGGTCGGCGCAGTACATCTTCTGTACTGCTGATAGGATTTGGCAAAAGTTTTACGACCGGCCGCCTGCCTGACATCAACCCTCCTTGAGGATGCTACCGTTAATCGCGGACGCCTTGTACTGTGCATATTCGATATTGTTTTCTTTTGAAACACTTTTTATTATATTACTCCAAAGTTTTAATGTATTTTTTTATTATTTGAAATAAATTTTGAACACACAATCAATTTCGTTTTGGCGTTGTCAATTTTTTTCTAAAAAAAAAAGCTTAGTGCTTACCAGCATCAACAAAGCACAGGAGTAGAGAGAGCGCAAGAGCGACGGCGGCGTGCTGCGCGAGCGGCGCTCGCCGCATGTCGCGCCCACGCGGCCTCTCATGCCATGCCGCCGCTGAAACAAAATGATCGCAATTAGTAATCTTTAATTAATAACCTCTTTCTATCTGATATTGGCGACGACCAATCTCATTGAGATAACCCAGCTGTAATGAGAGATCAGGTGGAAGACCGATTATCATTTCTCGCACCCAGGACCTCTAAATATGCAACCGTGTATCTAGATACAAAACCAATGAGACAGTCAATGTTTAACTATCAAAAAGATGCTAATACTAAATTATAATGTCAATATTTACAGTACGAGTAGATTTTACATAAAACCTAAAGGCTGAATATTAATGAAGGTCAAAAAAGCACAAATATCCAAACAGGCGTACTGTTGGGTATAGGCAATTTATTCCATTGGGTACATTCCTTTCTGACAGCGATGGTATCAGACTCGTCCAAATTTAATGTTTATGTATTTTTGATACAAATTGTTGTATAAGCTCCAGTGGATTACAAATAAAAGTTTTAAAGGTCTGTATGGTCTAACAATTATTATATCCTAACGAGTGAGACCTATAAATTTTAAAGAGTTTGTTTTTGTTAGTCTCTACCACAACGCCCCAATCAATTGTGATGACATTGGCATCAAGCCAGTCTGAATAAGGGATATTTTTTACTCCAGTTCCTAAGTGTGTTTTTTTCTAATTTGCTCTCTGAGCCTGTTATATAAGGATCCAAAATGTGTAAGTTCGAAACATATAAATGAATTTTTAATGAAAATATAGTCCAATACTAAATCTGCTAAATTTTGAGTGAATTTAGAGTTTTACTGATTTATAATACCTATACTTGTTGTTTGTAAAAATTTTTTATTTGTAAAAAAACTATTAAAATTTTTGCTAAATAAAATAATTATTTTATATTTAAGAAAAAAAAAAATTTTTTTCTTTTTTCCCTTCCTTCCTTTATTATAATAGAAATCGTATTAAAACTTACAATTTAAAAATATATTAGAAGGTTATTTTAAAAGCCTTGTTATGACTAATAGAAGTTAACTATTATGATAATATTAAAGAAAAACAAAATTCCTCCGTATTATTTAAGTTTCAAACTATTGCTAGCAACTGTCTGTTCGAAGAATTACTAACTTTAGAAACTTTCGCATTAATTATAATATTAATAATAATAAACACAAACGTAGCTGGCAGCAACCGCTTGTTTGACTAAATGACTTTTAGAGGCGCACAGCTTTAAGAGGAAATTCGAGCTATGAAAACATGACTCGGAATATTCAAATTTTGGTCATTATTTTACTCTATACTCGTGTTTCAGCAGAAATTAAATTTTAACAACCTGTACATAAAGTACTATCGTAAAACTAGTATTCTAAAATCACAATATTTATATGGAACACTATAAGAAAGATACATATTTAAAAAGTCTTACAATCTTTTTTATGTGTATATGTCACGCACTATCTATTATAATCCATTGGGAATGATTTCAAGATTATCTTGATGAAAATGTTATCTTATATATTAAGCCAGAAATTCTGATATATATACCTACATATTTTTTGAATATCTCGGGAACGACTCTAACGAACTGGATCAAACGTTGTATTTAGATAAGCTTTTGCTTTTTAAGTTTATACTACTTGTTAACTCCGATATAGTCTTTTCTAAAATAATGCAATATTTATATCTTTTCCAAAAAAAACACCGAGTGAGGACACTTTAAAGATGTTCCATCTTCCACTCTATACATTTCAAGTAAAATTTTCGTTTTGGAGGATGGGATAATTACTACAGTAATCTGATTTGACTTTGATGTTGGCGTTCTCTCTAAGTTGTAATTATTTACTTTTATTAATAGTTTGTGGGTATATCAAGTGGATCCTGAGGGATATTAGTAAATTAGATTAAGTCCCGCAAAGGTCACTAGAATAGTTGAGACATATAGGTAGTTAAAAATCATACTGTAAGCTCCTGGGTTCGAATCTAGTGTCAGACCAAAATAGTTATTGAAAATAGTAGCAGCCCGGAGTCAGGACGTATGCGATGTATACACCCCCGTACCTCAGAGAGCACGCTAAGTTATCGATTTTGTACCTTATCTCTCACTGATCGTGTCGATTTGATCGAAATATCAGAAATAGACACTACACGAATATTTAACATTTTAATCCCTCAACGACCGCGGACACGCCGGCGTTACAGTAAGCAATAGATTTCTTGGAAATTAAATTAATTTCTTAGTAATTTACCTGGAGGTGTTTAATAAAACTATCTTTTTGTTTTTGTTTTGAAAATATTATGACTCGGTTTCGCTGAATTTCGAATGCTTAGCAGCAATCATGGTGAGACAGCTGTAATCTGACCATCCGAAGTAATTTACATACTAATTAATTATTTGTCTCTAATTCAAAGAAAATAATATAAAAGTAAACTTACTAAGGTACTTTCACACTAAGTCTGTAATATCGTAGCTATTATTATTAGATATTTTCATTTAAAAATATTGTTAATATTAATGTTATCAAAACGCTTATAATTTGGACATTTATCGTTAAAAAAACAAAATAATGTTATGACAATTACGCCATTACCGTTAAAAATATAATAATACAATCACTATAAATGAATTAGTAACGCTTGGGAAACCGATTGAAGCGGATTTATATCTCGGTTCCCGCACCTCTGATATTCCCATATGCGATTTATTTTTTAACATGACCACTACTTGCCTTATTGTAAAGGAAAAAATCGTGAGAAAGCATATATATCTAAGAGGCACTAGCTAGTTTAGTTTGCCAATCAGCACTTGGTCAGCGTCGTGAACCTAATCTCCTTAAATGGAGGACAGTACTCAGCTGTGGGGACGTTAATAATGGCTAATATAAATAAATAAATATGTTGGGACATTAATACACAGCGCCATCTAGTTCCATGGTAATCTACGAGGCTTGTGTTATGGATACCAGATAGTTGATACACTACATATATATAACTTTAAATACATACATATTATAAATATAAACACCCATGACTGGAGTACAAACATTCGTAATTACACAAATGAATGCCCCCAGCGGGACTCGAACCCGCGACCGCTGGCACAGCAAGTAGGGTCACTACAAAATGAGCCAAACGTGTTATCAATATACATATGAACAACCATTACATCATTATTTCAATAAACTTCACGCAAAAATAACCTCAAACCCTTCGCTGTTCGTAACATAACGATAATGATTTCTCAAAGTAACGGAATTCTCGAATGGGTGAAATTAATGAAATTTCGTTTTGTGTTAAGCCGAAGGCTTAGGGGAGTTAAATTTATTGACGTATTAACGTAAACAGCTTAAGAAAGCGTACAGTTATTTATTTCTGAATCATGACGATTTTAATAAGGAGATGTAATAAGAATCTTAGTTATTACAACAAGATTTTAAAAAGATTATTTTTATTCATAAATTGTTTTAATAACATTGTTATTACAGTTTTTTTTTTTAAATCGTACGGTACGTGTCATTAATATTTTCTACTAAAACTTATAATTTTGAGGGTAGAAAGTATCTGTAATATCTATGGCTTTTGAGACTTGAAAATCTTTGTCCTTCCCATGATTCTTACTGTAAAGCATTACAATTGTTGGGAATAAAAAAAGGATAAAAATTATTTACATAGTTTTATTTAAAATCAGCTACAAAATTATAATATAAAAATATTTTTTATGAAAATAAACTTTAAAAATGCATTAATATTGACATAAACACGGCCAAAGTCGCAGGCTGATACTAGTTAAAGCATATAACAGCTCAGTTAGATTATTAGCACTTAACTATAAAACCGCTCTACTTGACATGAATACACGTCACACGCTTGATCTCCATTCATAGTATTCTATAGCTTTGAATAAGCATCAAGTCTTTTGATCGAAACAGAATATAGTTTTTTTTTTTTAATATTTATATTCTTTTTAACAATATTCGATTAGATTGACTTATGACTTTGTAAACTAAATCATATAATTAACATATTTTTTCTTAAGTGGTCTTAATCGTATCTTTCTTCACCTATTTTATTTTTCTTCTAAATAACTAGAGAAAAATAATATATTAAATACAACACTGTTTTCTTAAAATATATTTAGTTACTATATGTCAATAAATATTAATTAAACTTTATTATTAAATAAATATTTAAGAAATCATCACAAGATAATCCTGGAGCAAATTAAAGAACGATAGGTAGATATACATATTTTGTTGTGAACATAGTATCAAAGCAAAACACTTTGTAGTTAAATACACATTACGACGACACAATATCGTAGATATCACAACGTGTTGTTCGTGCCTATTATACAAAAAAAAACTTTCTTAAGAAATTCATTAAAAAAATTAATTATACAAATTACAAAAAATAAAAAAGTTAAGTCTAACTGACCTCTTATTTTTTAAAGCAGGTCAAAATATTTTCATTCATTTATTTTGAACTAGCGGCTCACCCTCGCTTCGCTCAAGTTTGTCTCTAGAAAAACAAAAACAAATCTATCCACGATAACCGTACATTTTCGTGGATAAAAAATAGCCTATGTGTTATTCTGATGTGTGAGCTATATTATTGTAAAGTTTCATTAAAATCAATTTAGTAGTTTTAGTGTGAAAGAGTAACAAACATCCATACATTTATACATCCAGACATCCATACATGCTCACAAACTTTTGCATTTATAATATTAGCAGGATGTTGCTTCATGTTTATTATACGAGAGCATAACATTACACTACACAGTAAAGTTTCGGCATTTGTATACATTTTTCCTCTACTCGTTTTTCTCAACAAAAAGAAAAACTTGATACACTGTGAATATTGTCTGTAATATAAGTTATTTAAGTATTCGTATTCCTCTAGGTAAGATAGATATATAATTTACATAATTTCATAACGTATCATATACTAAAAATGGTGGCGTTTCTAAACAAATGTTGAAAGAAACAAAATATCAAAATAATAAAATAAGATTATTTGCTGTCTCTTTTTCCCTTACCCTTAAATTAATTTTTAGCTCCAATAATTTACGTTATATATCCGTCATTCATCTTCTTCACATTTCTCTGTCCGGTGATGCAGAGAAAGTGTATGTATTATATTATATTATCTATACATATAATAAAATCGTAACT